GGGGGGGGAGATGCGGAATGGGACCCCATATCATTGTGGTCGTGGTTGATCATTGACGGACCACGAAACTGGGATTTTATGTGGGGCTCACTTGTCGATCTGCGTGTTGATACAGACCACAAGTTTTAGAGGTTGGATCGATACTAGAAGGCCCATCTGAAGAAGGTCTAAAAATTGGGGATATTGAGGCATAGGCCAGACCATAGCATTCAAGAAATCGCCCACGGATTGATTTTCATCAAAACCAACGCTAGGGCCTAGGGGTGGTTGCTCTCGGAAGCCACCAACCTCGGTGCAGTGGAGCGAACCATCCAGCAAACGACAGCAGCTCATGTATCGTCATACTTGGTGGGCTCCACAGAATATATTTTTCCGGTGGGCGTGTTAAGGCAGGGCTTATTCTGTTTTTATAATTCGCAAGCAGGACTGGCTGATCGTTGTTCCAAATTCAACCCGTGAGGACCAGAACCGTGGGTGATGAAATAATCCAGAGTCCACACTTGACTCGAGAGAGAGATGCATTTCAACATGTATCAAAATTCGAAATCGTCACTTCAAAGGAAAAAATCGACTTTGTCCTTGGCTCTAGTCTAGACTTGTTGGCACTAGTGCCTAATCTGACCAGGCAAAAAGAGAAGGGAAGGGACCAGGTGACTCGGCATAGGTAATGGGACGAATAGGTAGATGGAACCCATCACGCCACATCTATGTCAACCACGATTCTAGATTTATGACCTCTTGTTTTCAGAATGACTTGTCTACAGCCTACGCACATGAAGAAAGGATGTGAAGATGGGCCGGTTCGAATAAATATAAGAATCACAATATGAAAATATTATAATCTTTTCACCAACCTTATTATATGGGTTCAGTAAAAGGATTTCATTATCAAACATTTTATAGAGAGATCAGAGAGAGAGAGAGAGAGAGAGAGAGAGAGAGAGTAGATAGATAATAAGTTGTTATGTATGAAAATTATACTTATATTACCATATTTTTGGATTGCAATACTAGCTTGTGCTAACAATTTATAATTAAATGTCACATATCAAAATTGAAGTGTATAACATATCAGGATGGTAACTGGAAAAAAAGAGTGGCCGTTATAGCCACTATATTGGTGAATAACATGGTCCATTGATATTACAACCATTGCTTTCACGATTTTAGAACTCGCATTGTTTTAGTTAACTTTAACTTTCTAGTATTTTTTATGTCACAATGTCACATTCATGATTGACAATGAAATCAACCTCTTATAAATAAACATCCAGGCAACAATTTTGCATTCTCTTTTCTTTTATATAAAAGAAAAAAGAAAAATATATCATGACCCCCCCCCCCCCACCACCACCACTCAATTCTCCCGCAAGTCATTGTCCCATGTGTGAACATCACATAACACGGGTGTGATGATCAAATAATTTAAGACAACAACTTTTGAAAACAAAATATTATTAAACTAAATGTGAAACAAAAAAGAAAACAAAGAGATACAGATTTAAAATGTAATAAGAAATTACACTTGATAAGACACAACAATAGAAAGATATATCTATATCTTCCATGGTCTGAGTAGGGTTTCAATCAACTGATTCAGATGACAATGACATGTGCTAGGATTCCCCCAGCACAACCAAGTAAGCTATAATTGAATTGTATCATATGCTTTGCCGACTCTACTCTAACCACCAACATCTCCATTCAAACCGCTTCAGCCAACTAAGGTGTGTGTCGCCCATACATATGATTGTTTTTTTTTTTAAATAAAAACAACTTTCATAAAAGGAAAACTATACTGTACTATTTTTTCTGATGTTGCATTTGATTTTGTTTTGGGAAAATAACTTGAGTTAAACGGGCCCATATAACTAATGCAATCTTATTATTCTTACAATATAAAAATATTTTTGGCTGTTTTTATTGTTTTTGGGATGGATTTCAATATCATAACTCCAAAATGATTTCTATATTTTGTGTCTGATATTGGTTGCTAAATTAGCATATAGAACATATATAGCATTGACGTTGAAGAGATCATTTCATCAATGTTTTAAAAGCCATACCAGAAGCACTGGCCAAAGTAGCCGGTCGGTCCAATCCTTTTTTTTCGCTTTTTTTTAGGTTGTCGGTCGGTCCAATCCAATAGAGTCATATGGTTCTGTAGAAACCATATGAGTTGAATGATGCTAGTATCCAGTTTCCAGTTTCTGATCATTCATTCACTTTGGGTCAACCATCAAACCGACCCTCTGTGGGCTCCAGTTTCTAGGTGGATCGTATAACAGAAAGTAAGCATTAATGAGCAGAGCTGAAAAAGCCATTTTAATGCCGAAGATATGGCCCGGGTACCAAAGACATACCAGGCACGCAAATATGCATAACCATGGTAACAAGGGGCAGGGGCATTATTTAAAAGTAGGCATGGCAGAGGAAGGGTATCTAAAAATTCAAGCATGCAATAAATTGGCAAAAACCATTTTAAGCATTAAAGCAATAAACCAACATTTTTTCAGCGCTTTTATTTTTCGGTTTCCACGTTGGTTATGAATTTATACGTTTGTAGAAACTCTGTTGTTGTAGGAAATACCATTAATCATGCATTAATATTTCTGCACAAACATAGATAGAGAAATTCATGTATCAGTTTATAGTTGTATACGCATACGAAAAGAGAATAACTTGCAAAACAACCTTATTTGAACAGGATCTGTTCTATAGGCTCGTACCTCTTCATATAAAAAAAAGAAAAAAAAGAAAAAAAAAAAGAGCATAACTTGCAAAGAACTCAACTCCGTTTACAGTGTTTCTGCAATTAGAGTTCGGATTCGCTGACTACAAAACGCTGGCCACATGGCACACATCCTGTGTATAAGACACTACTGTCGTTACATCGGGAACATAAAGGTAAGCATATAAACTACAAAAAATATTTCCGATGTGCGGCTGTAGTGTCTCGTTGCCAGTGAAATTTCGGACTCTCTTTGCAATGAATTAATATTACTGGGATTTACTGCCAGCCAAAATGTGCTAACATATTTATAACACGACAATGCAGCCCCACATCGAGAATATCTCCTCTGTTGGTGAAACAATCCTACGGCCCTTCTCTGCCCTGGCACTCGTTCTTTGTGTGCCGAAAGAAGACAATAAAGTAAAATAAATCCTTAGTAGCTAGCTTATATATAAATATAATATTTTATTCAAGTGATTTACATAGACGGTAACTAAATAAAAAAGCAATAAAAGATGTACAATTCTAATAGCCCATGCTGTGCCAAATTTGTTATGTTCATGTGACGAGAACTGGACCTACCATGCAAGATGCAACTAGAAAATCCAGAGGGATTATTGAAACCATCGAATCATCTTCTTTTTTTCACTGAGGAGACGCTTGATCAAATGTATGTGATTGCCGATAGGAGTTACTACAAGGTATCAACTATCAACTCAAGTGTCAATTGAGTGGTGGCTCGATTGGCACATAAATTGAGTAGCTCCTCTCTTTATTGATTCTCACCGCTTTTGAGAAAAAATATTAATATTGCTAAAAAAATGATGTGAGTAATAAATACTTGAAAAAAAAAAAAAACTATTAACTAAGTGAAAGACTGAGATCCCATGCATATCCACTATATATATGTATGATCTATCAAAATTTCTCATTGTTTTCCTGCTTAAACCAAGCTTCTAGTTTCCAACCAATCCATAAAGACTAATAATTTAAAGGTTAAAACCTCCGAACACAAATAAGTATGACTTAATGACTTGCTAATGGGTACTATGCCACGTGTAATCGGACAGGTGTATCCTCAGAAAGCGGAAAAAAAGAAGAAAAAGGAATGGACGGAGAAAACGAAAAGCCAAGAAATATGATTGGCTGGTCAGCCTAAAGTGATAAAGAATGGATACCACGTTTTGATTGCAGAAGGTCATCCACAAGCCCGGACGTCCAACAATTGTAACGTGGACACATACAGTGATCCAGAGTCCAGACACGCTTTAGAGTTTAGACACTAAAACATGGAAAGTAATAAAGCACAGGAAAGAAGAGCATCGGAGGTTTGGAATTGGACGCATATTTCTAAGAAGAAACGTTTTCGTTTCTCCAAGTCTACCAGGAAAGAGACCTCCAATAATAGAGATTAAAACCAAAAAGAATCATTATTTACTCAAATAACTGACAGATAGCATCCAACTGATATCTACTTTTAGCCAGCCAAATAAATAAACAAAGATTGTTTCTCTCTGGGTTTCAACTTTCAAACCTCTATGCGTTTAACTATCTAGGAAGATTTCTTGTTTTCTAATAGTTCCACAAATACAGTTGGTGAAACGCACAAAGGGTCTCTTAGCTAAAGGGCTAGGCCTGTATCAAATAGGGACGGACCGGAAGGTTAGGAGTGGAAGGCATTTGTCCCGACACGTACTTTTTTTCTTTTTCCCTTGTGAATATGTGCGGAAAGTCAGAGTTTTCTCAAGGATTTTCCCGAATTCATCACGGGAAGATTTGGTTCTTGAAGGTGGTTCTGGTATGGGAGAGGACAGAACAAAGGAGACGGACAGGCAGAAGAGACGTTAACTACATTCTTTCAGCGGGGACGACAGTTACTTTTGGCTTCTTATGCCCGGCGGAAGAACTCGTCAATGGCACACGGGAACCTCGGACTGTAACATGCGCTCAACTGTTTTAGGTAGAGGTCGTTGTTTTTAAAGAAAAGATGGACCAGATCTCTTTGATTCCATGTGGCCCATGTCCATGTGACGACGACTTCTATTCTGTGTACCTAAAGCTGTTGGCCTTTTGGGTACGACAGATTGGAGTTATTGTCCACAGTCCACAGAACCTACAAGGCACAAGCAAGTGCCAAGCCAACCTGCTGATCTTGAATTCTGGGGCCCTCCTGAAATCAAATCGACTAATTAACTATCGTATACTGCTTCCTCAATCCTTCTTCCCATCAATTTTGAGTAATTCTGTGCAGTATAAAAACCTTAAGCTAAAAATGAAAGAATTTCATTCAGTGCAGGCCCGAATCCACGTTTCAGGTAGCAAAGGGCCATACATCAAATCAAAAACAACAAAACAAAAAAGAAAATAGGGAAAGCAAAAAGTTACAAAATATCAGGACCCACCTTCGAATGGGTCCCGCCTAGGATACGCCAATACAACATTCAATAGTCTGACTGGACGATTTTGCAGCAGAGTAGTCATCTAGAAAAAAATCTATTTCTATTGAGATTCTAACTACACCGCAGACCAGATGTGAGAAACGATCCGAGTTAAGTTTCTGGTACCTGACACTGGACCATTCTATTAAATGGTGGGTCCCAATTTTCTGTTTACTTCATCCATATACGGCCTATTTCCATTGCTTGAGCCAAAGTCGCACATTATTTTAGCTCACTGCAACTCTCCCCCCCCCCCCTCCCCATCTCTCATCGCTTTCTCTCTGCCACTGCTTGTTATCATGTGTGTGGACAGTGGACCTGGGCCTGGGGTTTAAGGGACTTGATGAAGAGATGTTATGACACGTGCAATGTAGACATATCGTACATGGTCTGTTTTCCCCTTGTTGAATAAACGGGAAGAGAAAATTGTCGCAGGACCAACAAAAGCGAGTATCCAGATACTGAGTTCTCGCTCACTAATGAGCAGTACTTTGCTCTTGTTTTCTTTTTCTTTGATGACAATAATAACCACAAACATGTAGAGGTACTGAGGAGAAAATGTAAGGTTATTATTGTCATTTTGATGGTTGCCATTCATTAAAATTGCTCCTCGAGAAGGGAAACAACTAACATCAACCGTTTTAGTCTCTTTCCCTAGCTACCTCATTTCATGTGACTGACTCTGTGCAGCGAGTCAGAAGCGCAGTATTTTTCGCTAAAATGCACCGGAAAAAACAAAACATACGAAGGCGGCAAAGGGCAAACGGACGGAGCTGTGGGATTTCAAGGCTTCTCTTCTCTGTTTCACCCGATTAAGGTGGCACATCTTGGATAAAATAAGAAGAAATTGCCTCCTCTTCCAACCGTCTTCCGTTACCGCCGATAGGTTAAAATCTCCATACGTCGCCGAACAATCAGCAACATGCAATGAAAAACAACAGTACACAGTAGGGAAACAGAATGGAGAAGACAATCTTCTTGTGTTCTGGAAGAAATCTGATCGAATACGTTCAAATCTCAGATCCTAGTTCTAGGATGAAAGGAAGATAACACTGTAAAAATTACTAAAATAGAGGCACTATCATCCAATAGAAAGCTCAATTTCAATGGAAAAGATGAGTTATCATGCGTGAGAGATATCGAATACATATTGGACAGGGAATAAAACAGATTATCAGGAACCTATAATGCAAATACGAAATTAAAATGAAGAACGAAAACGTTACCGATACTTCGTTGTGGTTCGACAAAAATCTTGCTTCGAACCGCCTCGCAGTCGCCGCCAAGAGGAGATTGAAACGGAGAAATAAACGAAGCTGGAAAGGGGATAACAGGAATGGAGAGAGAGAGAGAGAGGAAGAAAGAAAAACAGGGAGAGATATGGAGAGTAGAGACAGTTAGAGAGACTAGATGAAAGGCACAGAGAGAAAAAGGAGAGAGAGAGAGAGAGAGAGAGAGATGAAGGGAAAGGAAAGGAAGGGGAATTAAAAGCTTGGGAACCTTCGCCCCTCACGGGATCCTTGCAGTTAAACTTTCAAAAATTACGAAGAATTTACCTCAAATTATCCTAGATATACAATGACCATAATAACCTTGAGCACTTAATGAATGGTAATTTTGTTCTCATCCGTTGTCAATTGAGTTCTAAAATAGAACAGGATGATATTAAGTACATTAGTTGATTGTCTTTTTTTTCCCTTCAAAAAAAAAAAAACCTTTTTCTAAATGGTTCAGATTTTTTAAATTCTAATAACTTTGCCAGAACCTATGGCCCGAAATTGTGGAATCTTAACCAAACACTTGGATTCTAGTTAGGATCAGATTATGCACAAAAATCCAGATTCTGGGATAAAAACCAAATGCCCTTGCAATTAGACTTAATTTCACCAAAACAAAGTTGGGTAAGCCCTAAATCATTTTAGATGGCTTAGTTAATAATTCACCTTCAGTACACTAGCTATCAATTTTTTATATAGATGGGCAATGGGAGTAATAGTGGTTTGTAGTCAGTTGATAGAATGTCCAAGGGAGGAACCAATTTCTATAATTAGTTTCTCTTTAAGTTAATAATAAATTAGCCTTTCTTTTACTCTCTGATACATTGAGGGGGCGTTTTTTTTTTTGGATTTTGAGAAGAGGGAAAGTCGACTAATGGGATTTTAATTTCAATTGATCAAAAAATTCATATTCAATTTTCAGATTTATGTGAGGACCAGTGAAAGTTTATTTTCCTGAGCCCTTGTTCATTTTTCAGATTTATGTGGGGACCAGTGAAAGTTTATTTTCCTGTAATCCATGTTCATTTTTCAGATTTATGTGGGACCAGTGAAAGTTTATTTTCCTGGTATCACTTATCCGGGTAAGTGATACCCATCTCCTAGGTGGGTAAATTAACTTTCCCATCTAGGGTAAAGTTACTAATATTTGGATGGGACAAAAATGTCCCTTTTAATTATGAAATTTTTTATGACTATGATGGTCATTGCCTTATTTACATGAGAAATAAAAGAACATAGGTAAATATGTTTACCCGGGTAATTCTTTCCTAGGAAACACTTACCCAGGTAAGTGCATTTACTCAGATAAGTGACTTACCGAAAAGTAAACGAGGCATGAATTCAATGTGGAAGATGCAAAGAAGGGACCTACACTTTAAGCTTTGGCTTGTTCTGATGCAATAAGAACTGCAAATTGCCAAAATTAAGGATCGAGAACAATSTACACTAAAAAAAATAGTCAAAACTAGCTTCAATGAGGAATGAGATATGGAAAAGGGACATAAATAATGTTTTAAGGTGACTCCAAGCTGGTAATTGACTGTTTGAAAGTGCTGCTATTCTTCCTTGGATCATTAAAGTTGTGTTTGCTAAGATGATAATTGATGGCTGCCATGAGGTTTGTGAAAGATTTAAGCTTAATATTCGATGTGACCATATTTTTTGAGAAGCCAATATGGCGACAGATTGGCCACTTGAATCAGTCCAGCTCCAGTGTTGTGATAGTTGGATGTTCAATTATTTTAGGATGTCTGACCTCTAGGGAAGGGCTACCCCCAAGTTTGTGTGGTGCGTTTTCTTTACATAAAAAAAGAAAAAGGAATGGTGCATTGATTTTGGTGGGGTGAGATGTAGAAGAGTCTTAATTTATTTTATTTTTTTCTTGTATGTTTATTCTTTCACTCTCTTGTGTGATCAAAGTGACAACCAATTAATTTTCATAGATTTCCTTTTGACTTATTAAGCTATCTATGCACCATGTGCAAGCTAATAATTGAGGTTATAGGCATATTCTCCACATGTAGAAAGTGCATTTTAATACATTTTAAGTAGTATACTACATATTAGAGATTTTCTTGTTATTAACTGTAAAGTCTGATTAGTTCGCTAAAATCGTGTTTGGTTTGACGGTAAATAAGAAAGAAGATAGAAACTGAAAGTTGAAGGAAAGTCCTTATTTATTTTCTATTTAATCAAACATAGTCTTAATTTTTTGTTGAATTTTTTAAAGCCAATTTTTTTTTAATTTAATTATAAGAGGAGATACCAATATAAGTTGAAAACACCAATTGCGGATCTCTTATAACTCTTCAGGAACCGCACTTGTTGGTTGTTGAATCATCTCATTGTCATAAGTGCCGATCCCAATGCATGCCTGTAAATAGTAGCCGCTCTCCCCCCTCTTATAAATCATATCCTGCTCATGAATTTAACATTAATTCACAATCAGTATTCATCCTGTACAGTGGGGCTACAAAATTGACCTGGATTGATGGACTGATCAGTCATTCTTCCTTAAATTATATGGTTAACCTCAAATTTATTGACGCTTTTCACGATGTCAATATCAACTTAAAATGAACCCTTTTTTCCTTTTTAAATTTGGCTATCTGCTTATGCACTTATAAGTTATAACCTACAGCCCTAGTAAAGGCAGTATCAAGCCACCGTTTAACCTAAAAGTTGATACTATTAGGTGAGGTCAAATCCTTGAATGGGTTCAGCCTAGAATCAGAATTTTTAGGCCCAAAGTACAGTTGGAATGGGTGCCAGCTCAGAAGGGTATATAGAGTAAGGGGTTTTTGATATTTTGAATGTTTATGAATTTGCAGTGAAATTCAGAAATCTGCATTAGGCTGTCCGTACATTTTCGTATTTTTTAACACACTTCTTCATGCAAAATTTATGGGGTTTGAAGTGTTGATAAATATAATCCCACTTATACATTATCCTGAAATTTGATTAATTATAGCAAGGACAAATTAGCTTTAAATATGATACCATGTTAAAGAATCGCTCAATCTAAAAACTTAAACTATTAGGTGAGGTTCCTCAATAGGTTTAACAGGCAGGAATCTATCCAAGTCTCCATTAAAACCAGCCAAAGACCTTAGCAACTGAACCAATTGGCACCTTCAAGATGAACCTACTCTTTTGCATGAAAATGTCCAAAGCCATCAAAGGGATTTATATGGTTAAGAGAAATATACTGCATATATTACCATCATCCTTCACCCCATAAATTATACTAGGAAGAGTATGATTAAAATGAAAGAAAAATGATATAAGCATGCCACATATGATATATAAATTAAATTTCATTGAGTTCAATAGATAGGTAAAAGAGTAAATTTGATTTATAAAAGAACAATGAAATTTTACCTTCTAAACAATAAGTATTAACTGTTAATGTAGGATAGTGACATAAGTTGGTGTCTTCACTATATCCGACTTTTACTAATTCTAAAGTAAGAGTTCCTTGTTTTAAGATTTTTCTTCCCCCAACCAAAAAACCATTCCAACATGATCTATGTCCACACATTTCATGTATGATAGGTCTCAATCATAATAGTGAGATATGTAAATGCAGATCATATTGGAACTTGCTATAATGTTTTTTTTTTCTTTATTGACAGAAGATCCCAACTCATTATTTCTAAATTTGCATGGCAGTTGCCAATCAACCGGCATCATCATAGTGGTTATCAATGAAGTGGGTTTTATGGGGTGCTTATTTATTCCTGATAAAATTACGGTAGCATTCGGTGAAATCCAAAATTTGGAGGGTTTGATAATTTTATTGGTATAAGCTACGTTGCTATTTGGGTTCTGGACCTCTGGTCCGTTACAATCTTAGGAAAACGAGATTCTAGATATGGGAAGAGTTGCCGTTAGGTGATGAGGGAGGAAATGTCAGATTCAGAAGCTTCCTATGGCACCGTAAACCGACCTTAACCGCCTGGGATGTTGACCCTGACGAATTCCTTGATTTCTTCATTTGTTCGCGTCGCGCCGTGACCGCAGCTCCGGTCCTCGTATTTTGTCGGTTTGGCTTTAGGAAGAGAGAACTTGTTGAAGTCCTCGACTGGTTCTCATGGTTTTCTATTTTCCAATTACTGATTGATGCCGCCACGAAATTTTCCCCAATTAACTTCTTTCGTACGAACTTTTTTCTTTTCAAATTTCAATGAAGTAAATTAGTTTTTTTTTTTTTTATTTCTTTTCAAAATTTTCAAATTCCACCTCTCTTCCAGAGGAGATACTAAACGTACGAAGCTACGGATACGTTGAGAGCTTGGTATACTTACAGTCGCACATTCGAAATATTTCCACATGAATTAAACGTACCTGTACATAAAATATTCTAGATGTACTTAGGAGTGTAAATAGATTGAACCCGATTTAAAAGAAATTCAATATCCGAATTAGATTTGATATATGACCGTATTGAAAGTCGATTCTAATATGATTGAATATTCGAATACAATCGATTAATTATTTTAGGAAATTAGTAAATATAAATTAAATATTTTATTTATATAAAATACACAAATATATAAATTATTTATATAATTTAATATTTAAATATTTTATATATCATATATAAGAATTAAATAATTGGTCAAATTTGAATATTTATCAAATCGAATCAGGTATATTTGAATTAAACCAATTATAATATTAAAATTATCTAAATTCAATTCAATTATGTCAAATCTTGAATTAGAAATGGAATTTACGAATGTCATTGACACCCTTAGATGTACTAGTAAACATGTACGTGCATTTGCACGTGGCAATATCTCCAAGACAAAACTATTTACAATTCATGGACAGTTTTTGAACAGTAAATGACATATATGCCCTCTTTATGCCCATTGTATGTTGCTTAGATAAGAGGTAGAAAATGTCCAATTAAAATTCCAGAAAAAAAGGGACAATCACTCTTTTATGGGTAGTATAAATGGTTAGATGCCATGTTCTCAACATATTTCGCATGATAATTATTTCAAAAGATCTTTTACTTTTTGGTAAAGGCTTATGGTAGATCTAGGCTTAAGGGACATCCATCAAGAGCTTATATTTTTCTAACCCCAAAATGCAAAAATAATGATAACTTATTGGAGAGGAGGTGAATGGATTCCTTATAAGCAAAAAC